ATGAGGAGGTAGACGAGATGATTCGCGAGGCGGATGTTGACGGTCATCGGCTCAGTCATCTCTGACAGATACTTGTGGTCGTATTTCATCCAATGCGGGGTCGTAGTTGCAACCTATTTTTGTGTTGGGTTTGTTGGATGAACCTGGACGACTTGCACGGGATGTATGAACATCAGCCACGGTTTGTAGGTGTCCTGACATGTTCGGACAAGAACCGTGTGGCTAGAGTTTTCTCATTAAATGAACAAGCAGTATCAAAAAAATCTAAATATGTATCAGTTGTTATAATCAAGCTCCCATTCATAAGTTGCCTACCGTTTTGGGTCTCAAAGCTTGCACTCCACTCCCGCAGCATACACTCACCCCGCTCATAGGAGCAGGTATATTAGGTACAATAATGTACAATATATTCTTTTTGTATACCGGACACATTTTGATCTCAGGCTTTCGGGCTTTGTTAACATCATGCATGAATTAGCACATGTCTTGTGTGTGCGCGGACTTATTTGGGCCAATATTGATGCAGATGAGCATTGCTGAAAGTCCCTAGGTTTTAATGAAGGATGTTCAGAAGTCCATATGAGGATTGGACTACATCATTACATCTATGGTTTGGGTCGGTTTTCCTGGTCCCTCCAGCCTGTAAAGGGTGTGCGGGTGTGTGACTGTGGTTAGATTTTGTCCAATTCTCCGGTGTGCAGTTTGCTCAAGTGCTATAGACAGATGTGCTTCCTGCATCAAGTCCCATTGATCATTGATGCAGGTGTGTGTCTCCAGACTCATTTCAGCTTTCTCATTTAGGTGATGGCCAGATCAACTACGAGGAGTTTGTGAAGATGATGATGGCTAAGTGAGCAATCAATCGAAGCCAGAGCTGCCAGTTGCTTTGAGCAGCTGGGATAGCTAGACAGTGATTCAGCTCTGTACATGCATGCAACGCATGAGTGGTCACCCTGACAGGCTGAATTGGTCTTGTATCATGGATCGCTAGTCGCCACACCTAAAGCGATGTGTGGTCGAGCCAAAACCTGCGATCAGGTGTACTCATGTCAGGTGCCCAGACACTTCATGACGTATGCCCATTAGGGGTGAGACCTCAGGGGTCAAAGTAGCCAAACAATCTGTATGATCATATTACGTAGCCATACCTCAGCGGTCAAAGTAGCCATACTATATGACTATATGAGTGTATATAGTCATGCACCATCACACGAGGCTCCGGCAGCTGGTGCCCAACAGCCGCATCGAGCGGTTGATCTCGGCTGCTACCCGGGAGACAGTGACTGAGTGGCAGTGAACTGTGGTACGTTTGGAGGGATAGTGGCTATTCAAGACAAGCTTCACCGACAGAGGCAAACATATATCTAGGGCATTCTATAGGGCCTATTTTGTTTATCACGTTGGTCCCTCTTCGTGGGCTGAGCTCAGTGTGTTTTGTTCTGAGCTGAACCGGCGATTGGCGTGGATCTGACCACGAATCGAAACGACGAGCGGGGCACCACCAAAGTTGACGATGGACGTGACGATGGACGCTTTTGACGGTGGTTCAGTGGGATGAAACAAACGTGCGGGTTGGCGATGGGCTGACATACCAGCGAATCAGACCCTTGGGTACACAAAGGCACAGTCGTAGATTCCAGAAAAGTCACTTGGCACCATGGAACATTGTGCCCTAGTTCCAGGCGGTTGTTACAATGTAGTATTTTCAATTATTGTGTTGGTGGTGCATTTCTTGGGGAATGGGTATAATGGTATAATGTATTGACACAGCCACATGTGAGTTTCCCATGTCAAGCTGCACCCGGAGATTCCAAGCCCAAGCTTCCCACCGCTCGAAGTGTGCCACTGGACAGATGCACCACTCCATCCACCCACTCACGTGACCAGTCCCGGGTCTCAGGTGATGAGTGGTTTGGTGGACCATGGCACAGAGGCCAGGGCATTTGGACCAAGCGGGTAGTCATCACGAGCCTTGGTGTCCCACCTCAGTTGAAGGTTTCCCATATGGGTGTGCATGGAACGAAGGAGAGACGCCCAGTCCCAGTCGGTTGCAAGGTCTGCGTGTTTCTTCTGAAAAGAGGCTCGAACTGTGAAGTCTCCCAACTTTCAGAACACGCCGATATTAAGACATCCTCCTTCAACTCGACTGGTCATCTCCATCTTCAGGATTCTGAGATCTTGGGACTTCAACATCTCCACCGCCTCCACCCATCTATCTATTATATGTTGATATATTTTATGTTTCATGTTTGATCATGCATATAACCATTCATATCCGTCCTCGCTGGCGAGGTGTCCTTCAAGCCGATGACTGCCAATTTGGTGGTCTTGGTCCAGATCAGCTCGGAGCTCTTCGAGTATAGCCGAGCTCTCGGTTGATGCGACCGTGCAATGCAGGAGGCAAGTGACTCCAGCGGCTTCACGCGGAACAGAAAGTGAAGTTCTTTTCGTTGGGCAGGATTGTTATTGTTGATGCGGGGTGAGCACATAAGCCATACAGATATGTATATATATATATATGCATTACTAGGCCAAATCAACAAAAAGGTCACGTCGCGACACACTACTGTAGTTCCACTTGCACGCACACTGCTGGATAGGTTTTCGAGGATTCCGAATGAAGAGTCATGGTAAGACTTACTGTAAATGTAAAGGAACTTGCAAAAGAAGGGCCCATTCGAACAAATTCTGGATAGGTTTTGAGCATGAGCAACGCTAAATACAGTCAGACCCTTGCTTTGGCAGGATGCAACACTGAACAGCTCCAAAGATTGGCTGGAGATTTGGCTAGATATTTGGAGTCTCTATGAGAAGGATAATTTTTTGTGACGGCTAGATATTGGCGGGACGCCTTTGTGCACATGCTTAACCATGCTTAACCAGGCATGCTTAACCATATGCACATGATATTCTTCTTGTCCAAAGTGACCAATGGTCAGTGAGTGGTCATGGGATTGAAAAACATTGTTTCACTCAAAATCAATGACACACGAAAAGCAAACACAATAACATGACGGACATGACAAGCTGGTCACGAGAATACACGACATCCTGATGACATGCAACTCATGTGTACGACCGAAGAGCGGAACGACCGCTTGAGACGCTTGAGACCTAGGTCTGGTTGGACGGCCCTACTGGGAGGCACCAGTGCCGTCGCGTCGGCACTGGGGGCAAGGAGCAGGGCAGGATGTCCATCCTGAGAACCACAAAACAACGATTTGCAGCTCTTGCAATGCTTGAATTTCATTGAATATACATGTCTTGCAGGACAAACAAACTATCAATATCTATCAATTGTACCTGGGAAGATAGACTCTGAGCATTTCTGAAGCAGCCAATACCGCTTCACCACCATTTCGGACTTCCGATGGGCTCCCATCGGCGGTATAACCACCCAAACGGCTCCATCGGCACCCGGAATGAAGGCCTTGATCGAATGTTTCATGACCTTGGTGGACAAATCCCTTCGAGTCACGCGAGGGAGTGGGCCAGGATGCCCAGGGACTGGGCGACGACGAAACGACAAAACGACTGAGACGAAACAGAAGCAAAACAGGAAAAAACACGGAAACAAACCTGTGAACGCACTAGTTCCAGTTACAATCAGTTACATGATGCCATGATGCCACATGTTGTTTTTGATTTTCCAGGGAAAGAAGGGTGGGCATGGGAGACTCGGTTTGGTACACTGCAGAAATTAATGTTGCCACATGTTACCACCTGCAAAGCATATTGGGCAAGTGCCTGGTTCGTTTGTTGTTGTTTTTCTTTTTATGTTTGTGTTCTTTTTCCGGAGCAGCAGAACACAGATGGTGCTCGATTGGTTTTGGCGACAGATTATGGCTTCATCGTGAAGCAGGTTTGCGGGAATCTTCAGAGGTACAAGGATATTCAGATATTCATGTATATCATGTTGCACTGAGGCACTACGTCCGTATGATCATGTTCACCAGAATACGAGGACTTGCATGTCCACACCAAGTTGTGCTGTTTCTGAAATGTGTTGCGGAGTCCGCCTTTTGATGCCTTTTGCACATTTGCAGCATTCAGTGTCTCATGACGATTTTCCTTGTTGACCGTTTTTCCATGCACAGGAGTTCCACTGAGCTCAGACGTGCGCATAGATCAAGACTGGTATGTCACTTGGGCGCCACCAGCGAATCGTAAGCAAACTAGAACTAGAACCTGCAAGATCAATCTAAAGCAACACACATCTTGTGGCAGTGTTTATTTGTGCGGCAAGGGCAAGTGGACGCAATTGCTTACGGTCAGGGACCTTCTGGTTCAGGGTTTTGTGGCTTTGGTGCCTATGTTTGTGGAGTTGCAAGCACTGAGGCAAAGCCAAAGACACTCCCAGATGGTGACAAGGCCAGGGGATTGAGCGTGAGAACAGGGGATCAAGAGACGTGGCAGCTTTCAGTCGACATTTTGGTTTTGAAGTTCATCCAGGCCTCCGCCCCCACTTCTTTTATGCTTGCTTCAGGAGGTATACATGATGGTATACCTCTAGCAGCTAGCATCCAGCAAGACTCAAAACTGTGTTTGGGCTGCCTTATATACTCATTGAACATACTGCTCATCTCGAAGTCCTACACCTGGGAATATGTGTCAAAGCTCTCTCGTTCGTGGAGAAACTGCTAGATATAGGCTGCATGAAAGGACATGGTTTGACCCAAAGCTGCACATCCAACCCCACTACACCCGTTTGCCTTAGTTTAGAGCGTTCAATCACGAAACACATCGGAACACCACAATCAGAACCTTCCCCCACATGCCCCACCAATCACCTACTGGTAGGATATGTGTTCGTTGCATGAGTAAAAAGATATTCAATGGTTGTCTACCTTCCAGACC